TCCTGACAGAATGTCTGTTAGACATCAAGTCCAGGATGAGAGCTAATTTTTTTCAGTTGAATGTCAACAAGACCGAGGCTCTCCAGACTGGCTCCTGCCAGCGCCTCCTCACCTCAAACACTGACAGCATCACCATCCACGGTCGGGAATCAAACTAAGCCAGTCCGGAACCTTGGCATCTTGTTTGACCCTCAACTATCCTTTCCAACCCATATCTGCGCCATGACCTACTCTGCCTTCCCCCACTTACGCGATATCTCCTGGCTCGCCACTGTCTCACACCGCAGGCCGCCGAAACCCTCATACATGCTTTCATTACATTGCTTGTCGGCTCCCCAACTCATCCCTCCATAGGCTGCAGATCATCCAGAACTCTGCAGCCGTGTTCTCTCCCACACCAGGCTCCGTGATCCTATCATCCCCATCCTCACCTTACTCCACTGGCTTCCCATCACACAGAGGATACAGTTCAAGATCCTGGCCCTCACCTTCAAAACTCTCCACGATCTTGCTCCCCACCTCTGCGACCTTCTAACCCCCTACCATCCTGCTCGCTTCCTCTGCTCAGCGGGCTGCAGCCTGCGTCATGTCCCCCGCCTCGCTCGCCCCACTATTGGCGGGCAGGCCTTCTGCCACTCTGCCCCCACTCTCTGGAACTCCATTCCATAGTCCCTCTGCCTCGCCCCCTCTCTTGCCACCTTCAAGACCCATCTCAAGACCCTTCTCTTCGACTGTGCTTTCAATCTCCCTGCTTCCCCACCGCCCTTCACCCTCCCTGACCCCGAGCCCCAGCTTGGGTCTGAAACTCTGTCTGTCCAGCGCCTTGGGAGGTCCACTCGACGTGAAAGGCATTATACAAATGTAATTTTGTTGTTGTTGTTTACACTGAATACTTGCAAGAATACTTGCAGTGGATTATTATTTTTAATAAACCCTAAAAACAACACATTTTACAGATTTGTTAGGCCTCTTGAATAAAGCTATGAGCAACCGCTCTGTCACGCTATTGCTCACTCAATTGCAGTTGGTCGACCTGCTACTCGGGGTAAGTGCGTGAGCTTCCTCTGCTTTCTGCATTCCCGGCTCTCCGACTCCACCATCTCCATTTAGATATTTCTGGCATATATATACCATGTACTGTTTGCTGCTCACAACTTTTCTTGTTCTTGCTCAATAAATTCCAAGTTGGAGTTGGGATTCAATGCATCTTCTCAGTTCTAAAAGTTGTACATCTTCTTCCTAAATGACCATCTACAAGATTTTAATAATGCTGTTTGTGCCACCCCTACAGGCCTGAAATTCTTCTGATCACTAATTTAAGTGAAATATGTAGTGGCTCACAAATATTGTGCCTTGACGCAAATTAATTTGTTTTAATCCTGAAATGCTCAGTACTACTAACTGCTTTCAGTGCTCACAACATTTATTGATGGGAATCCTCACTAATTCTAGGTTTGCTCTGAAATTTAAATTCACCTTTGCAGCTTATATTTACATTTTACACTTACATTAGTGAAAAGGCCAGCAAGTGACAACTATGTATGAAAATCTCAATCGAACAAAACAGGACATAACAAGGTCAAATACCAACAGAAAATACATTCTATACAGAAACAGGCATTTAATACTTTCCCAAAGTGAGAAGTGAATTGTAATGAATTAAGACAAGATGTACATTGGATATCCAGGTGCATGAACAGCTGACTAAGGGCATCTTTTAAAATTAAGGTTGTGAATCTATACTTATTACTGAAAATAGCTATCGTGGGAAAGAGTTTCATTAAAGAGGTAATTTTTTTTGGCAAACTTTTTATTTGCTGGCAAATGCTGAAATGAGAGACTATGGGTCACTTTGAGCATGATTAAAATAGACACTGATTGCAAGAATGACTTTTATTAGCTATTTCAACTCCTGACATAAAAAGGTAGAAGTCAAGTTAACCCCCCTGCCCTCCACCCTACCAGATCCCAATCCCCGGCTCGTGTCCGAAACACTGATTATCCAGTGCCTTGGGATGTCCTCCCAAAAGGCGCTACACAAATGTAATTTTGTTGTGGTTGAATCCCTATGGGCGTAACGTGACAGTATATTCTGTGAAGTGCTTCAAGACGTCTATAAGATGTGATAAGGCAATATATCAAATGCAAGGATATTACTTTTATTAAACAAACATTTTCATGAAAATAATACCTCCTTAGTACTAATGACTTCCAAGAATAAAATTATGAATTGTTTTAAAAGTCATACTCCTCTCCTTTAAATCATGTCAAATTAGCACTAATATGCAACAAAACTAACTTAATCTATGGTATTTACATATCAGTTATAGTCTTTACTTTTATTAATTAAGCTAAAATTCTACTGGAAAATGATTGTGTCAAGCTTTGCATTTTAAAACAAATCACACAGATGATGAAGAAAGCCACTTAGAATGATGAATTGTGCTTAATCCTAGCACTAAAACAATAGATCTTTTAAAAAATGTGACTAAACTTTTTTTTAAGCTGGTGAGTTGGAAGAGTGCTATTTTAACTGTCGTCTTTGTAGCTCTTTGCAGAAAGATTTGCACTTCCTGTAGAAGAGGAAACTGTGTGCTCCACGCAGGAGCCATTTGAAGATCAGTGCAAGACTGATGAAGACCTTTTTGTTAAGCAGGAATACACTTCTGCTGTTTCTTATTCTTCTAACAGACATCTTGGAGACCTGTAGCTCAGTGGTTAGAGCACTCGCTTTGCAAGCGAGAGACCTGAGTTCAATTCCAGGCAGGGCGAAACCTTGGGCAAGTTTCCTTACTCCACACGCCTAATAATAATCCCTCCAAAAACCAAAAACAATAATAAATTGGTCATTTTCAATCTACGACTGTTTGTGGGACATTGCTGTGCGCAATTGGCTGCCGCGTTCGCCCATAAATATACAGTCAATTCACTTTACAGTTTGTTCTGTGAAGCGCTTTGGGATGTCCTCCCGACGTGAAAAGCGCTATATCAAATGCAAGGATTATTATTACTATTATATTTTGGAATTTATTGTAACCTTTTTCTATATAACTTTCTCTCTCTCTATCTATCTATATATATATATCCTATAACTATATTTAGCAGTGTGAAACGGTATAATTTTTGGTTTATTGACAATAATAATAGATTGCTAAATACTACACTCAATTTTCTCCAATAACTGATTACAGTATTAGGTGATTTAAAGAGTATTCACATAGTACTTATGTAATAAAGCACGCTATTGAAATATCATTTAAAAATAAATCTAAAGCTCATATTGCTGCAATAGTACTGCAACTAGGTTTAATGATCTTCAACACACACAGTGTGATTAGTACAGCGAGGTTGAAATTAATGAAAAATAATGCAGCACAGATCACACAAAAACATACTGTTGTCGGGGATAAATGACAACTCTAAACAAGTGCCTTTGTGATTAATAACAATTTGGTCTGTAACATTCTGGTAATATATAAATTCAATATAATTTGCTTGCTGATCACTTCATCGCAGCACTCGTTTAGAGTTGGGGGTTTATGAAAGTAAGCTGTAAAAGGGCAAACCTGATTTGCTGTGGCTGCGGCGGCGAAGTGTAGGCTTGTGGCAGGTGTTGTTGCTGCAGAGACAGTGGCGGGCGTAGCACTGTGCATCATGGATACTTTCAGGAAGGGAGCCATGGAAGCAATAAACAGAAGGGTGTGGCACATGGTGACCATGACAACATATGTTGTTATAGGGCATGGCAGATATCACATAGCAGAAAGCCATCGTGGGACGGGTGAGGTTACACCAGCAGGTGACATGCAATCAAAGTGCAAAGCAAGAAAGCATGTGGGGGGGGGGGGGGGTAAAATAAGACAAAGAGAAAGGAAAAAGCGTATTACAATCACAATTAAAAAAGCAATGCCAACATAATCAGAGTTTCCCAGAGAAAGCATACAGGAAAGACGCGCTTGGGAAAAAGGTGAGTAAAAAATATCCTACAACTTCCACTCATGTTCTCAGCTAAACATTGTACAGCTATAACCTTTTCTTGTCAAAATGTTTTGACAAGAGACAAGAGGACCACCCAAGTTTATTTTTTGTTCAACTACTAAGAATGCCATCATTATTTCATGGCAGAATTTCAAAATTCAACTCCCTTAAAATTCTCTGGGAGACTCTGATAAATTAAATAAAACTAAGACTTGTTTTTCCAAACTTAAAATAGTTCCAATGCTATCAAGTTAAACCAAGTTACCCAAAAGGCAAATATAGAAGGCTGTTACTGTGGCTGTTACTGTAACAACATTATTTCCAACTAAAATCCACTGTAGTAGTAGATTACATTGTCTGTGCAATTGAAACCAACTGGTCTAAATGATCACTTTCTCAGCCAGTTTCCATTTAAAAAAGTCAGTCAGAACAAATTCCAGTAATAAATGCATGCAATGGTTTGCTACTTGTACCTTAACCGTTTAATCAAAATCCACAGAGATCTTCTAGGTTATCAATCAAGGAGCAAAATGCTCCCCTGTTGGGAAATTTACATGGCACTATATGCCTACAACAGCATTTTCAGTTTTTATGTGCACATCTCCAAATCCAGGAAAGTTCCCAAAGGGGACATCTTAGTTCAAAACATTATGGGGTGATGCTCCGGTTGTTGGGTAAATTTACCAACCTTGTCATTGAGCTTATTCTATTCTCAGCTGGTTAGTAAATCTACTGACCAGGAGAGAACCTGGTGCCCTCACCTATGAAGGAGTGCATATTTATTGACAATTGGAGAACCATCCCACTACATGTGAAACAGATGGACAGAGTTCTGTTGTGCTCTATTTAATAAATCAGGTACAGTGCAGCTTTAACTAAGGAATGTTTTGATGATTTTAGCTTCGTATTTCTCAAATCATAGAAAATCAAAATGCTTAGAACCAATTTTCTTTAAAAAGATTGTAACAGCATCTGGTTGTATCTGATTACATTCATGGTTAGGAAATAAGGATGAAACCTACCAACACTTGTAGCTGGAGTCATGCAAAACACCGACCCTGCCATCATGCAGTAAAACATTTAGAAAGGTGAATTAGAAAAAAGTGTTAGCAAATCAGTTTGTGTTAGATCACAGTAAAGATCCTAACAAACAAATACAAAATAAATAGATTGCTATTTAGTTCAATACATCTAATCTTAAGGTTAGCTCTAATAATGCAAAGCCTGGTTAACGAAAACAAAAAGGTTCAAAACAGCAAATGTTTCTCCATCCAATTATACCTCAAACAATGAATTTGTATGAGATGTGCTACTGTGTGTGGGATACCAAACAAAGTTCTCACAAATTTACTTGAGTCATTGTGGGAATCCAGACTCAATCTACAGAGCACTGCTAACAGTGCATAGTGTTGGTCAGCAAGGACAACAAAGGTACAAAAGTGGAGCACATAGCAACTTTCAGTCTAAGTGAAATAAACACATGCAACTCTAAAATGTTAAATTTTGCGATGATAGGCTGAAATCTAATTGCTGGTGTTTGGTGGTGAGTTTATACCGATTGTCTTAACTGCATAGACTGACGGCATATCACTCTTCAATTTTATACAGAATGAAGCAACAAAAAATTATTTTGGAAATATTAAGGGTTGTTTTAAACTCAATTACATGATTCAAATTCATCACTAAGCAAGCGAGGAATCATATCACAGTATAAGCAAGATATTATTTTGATTCACCCTCCCAGTTAGCAATTGGTTAGCAAACAATTTTCAGCAATCTGTACAATCAGCATTATTCAGTAGTTTTAAAAGCAAACTGTGAATTAGCTAAATGTGTAAATTTTAAATGTCTTTTCTTCAAATACCACATGTAAATAGCTATTTTGATCAGTAAATTTACTGCATTGTCATTTATACAGTGAAACATTCTAAACAGTTAATTCTGTCTCAGTGGGGTATTTCTTTGTGCCAGGTAAAGAACAATTACTTATCACTTTTGTCGTGATATTTCTGTGACACATAGTATAAATTGAACAATTATGTCTGTGACCTTGGAAAACACCTTTTTTAAAAAAATTATAAAGGCGGTGTGTTTTTAAATATGTCAATTACCATGTTTAGCAGTATTTTACAGCTGACGTGTATTTCAGAGTTGGTGTGGATAAAATGCTTGCAGCCCAGATTTTTTCCCTCAGCAGAAAATGCAGCACCACTTTTTTTTTACAGAATTGTAACAATACCTGGCCAGACAAAGGAATGTTCAGTTGTGAAATTAAATTTGGCATTAAGAGTTTTCTTTTCTCATTCTTCACTTCTGGAACCAACGTGGTTTAAAATGTGGAGCCAATGTGTGGCTACCAGAAAAGCTCCATTGACAGTGTTTTTTCTCCCAAGAAACCTCTGTACATCTTGCAATCACAAGATCTAAGGCTCCAGTGAGAACTCAGGTTCGAGCTGAGATTTATGTGGCATAAAGGGGATCCTCTGGAGAAACGTGGTTTAAGACTTTTTTTTTAAATGGCCATGCAGCGGTATCAAGGAGCAGCACTTATTAAGATATTCCACATTTAACTTCCTGGCGTGGTCTTTCCTCTTAATTGATAGTAACTGATTACTTTTAATAGTAAAGAACATTTTCTGCTGGAGAGACTGAAATGGTAATCAGCGCAAGGGAAATTACCACCCACCGTACTGCCCTTATTTTTCTGTTTTTACAGGACATCTCACCACCAGATTTACTGTAAAGTGCAGTGATAGTGTATTTTATAGGCGAATGAGACAGCCAATTTGCACAGAACAACGCCCATAAACAGCTCTGAAGGACCTGTGGATTGTGGGCTTGGACACCGGGAGAAACTTCCAAATCAAGATTACTGTACAATCTTAAATTTAAAAGCAATGATCTTAAGGTTAAGAGCGCAAGAGATTTCAGGGCTCTGAATTTGGCCTAATTTCTGCAAAAATAATTTATTAAAAGAGAAATCCGGTCAATCAAGTTGCAGCTCCCCACAGGTCGCTCCAGTGTGGTGTTCAAAAGACATTCACAAGATCCCCATTTTCTGGGTCCAACAAGTCATAATATGGTGAGTTCCAGACCTTCCATTTGATCAATTCCTCGCTGCATCACCAGGGGCTGCAATGTTTATAGGCTAAACATGAGCAGACACTGCTAAGCAGTTTACATTTTTATATTTTAATCTAGAGTTTACTAACAACAGAAGTAAGTAGGCAAAAATGCTCTGGGCAACAACCTGTTACTACCCAAAAGGAAAATCCAGACGTGAGCTCAAACATTACAAATCACTAACATTACACACCGAAGTGAAGACTGAGAAAAGACCATTACATAGGTGCAAGTACATATTTCATTAAAAAAAATCCCAACTAAACCCTTTAACAGATGAGGCTTTTATGATAAACATGGTGCTTTCTCTTACAAAAATGACATCTATTTTATACACTGCGCTCCTTTAACTAAAATCATTTGGCTTATACACAATCATGTAAGATTATCCTCACAAAAGTGCTATAAGTGTCATCTCAATATGAAATACTGAGAAACTAGCCAAAATCCATCTTAACGAACATTTATGCTTAGGTGACCTTATATAATTTTAAACAAACAATTCAAATGGTTTGACCCAGTATTTGACCACTTGAAGTTGGTGACAAAGGTAATAATTAGTCAGATTTCACTGTCCTAAAGGTAATGGAGCAGGAATATTCAATAAAGCATTACTAAACATCAGTTAGTGTTGAATCTCATGTATTACCAAATAAAATTAAAACAGTATTTGCAAGTCATTTCACTTCAGATAAGTTATTTCTGTAAGCCCTGACAAAAAGGGGCAAGACAAGGTGTAACCAGCATACAGAACAGTTTCAAAATAATGCCTTCAGTACCTTACTTTACCAAGTCAACAGCGGAGCTTTACAATAAGGGGATATGACATACCTGTTGGAAAAAATGTTGGCTGCTGTAACTGTGCATTGGCTAGTGCCTGTTGGTAGTGCAAAACACTAGGATTAAAGATTGTGCTGGCACCATTACTTTTTTCAAGTGCTGGTCTCTTTGGTAAGTGGTGAAGAACACCAGGTGGAAAGGCCTGTGAATGAGGGATTTAGTAAGATAGGTACAATAAAAAAAATAGAGAAGACAGAACAAAATGCCTGCCACGCACTGAAAAGTTACAGCAAAATAGAATAAAAACATTTTCACATGATAAAGACTAGCTTTCTGTAAAAGACAGCGCACATAGTACAAGTACAGATTTTTAACAAATCAAATGCAGTGAATTTTAGTTTTGCAATATTTGCTAGTTACATACAAAAACAGTACTGAGAGCATGAACTCATTTGTAACTGCAAATACTATCGTATTAATTAAAATACTTTTATTATCTTGATATTTGAAAGCAGTTTAGCAAAAAAAATGCATAATGAAGGTAGGTAAAGGATACATTACTTAACAATTATACTGCACATATTAAACAAATTACCATCAATTTAAAACTAAAAGAATGCCCCGTTATATTCACCCCAAGCTATTTGTTGCTACACCTGGAATCCATCACAGAAACATCTGATATTTCTAGAAATAACTTTACATAAATAGTAGCTTTTTAAATTGTTAAATGACCAACGTGGCTATAGTTAGGATGAACATTAAACTATTCCATTGAATGGCTAAGTGCAGTGAGCACTTTTGTTTCTTTAAATCATAAAATTAAAAAGTCTATTAAGTTACTGTACTAATTTACTAAAGCTACAGTGCATGCAAAGCAAGAAGGTGAAAGGTCAAAGTACCAGGTCAAAGGTTGCCTCGAGGGGTCGTTTCACAGATTTGACAGCCGACTGAGTCTTAAATAGCAGGCAGCGAGCATATGATGGCAATGGACCAATGGGGGTTCAAGCGTATTAACATACAGGTAAACAGCAAGCAGAAGTGCGTCATGGGAACAGCAGTACATTGCAGGTGAGGAGAAAAAAACAAAACAAAACCCTGAATGCAGTATACAACATAGGTAACACACAGCATGCATAAAATGAATTGTCAAAGGCTTCTAGTAATAAATACAGAATTAGTACTGCACAGTAAAATAAGCATTTACTGTACCATAGTTAAAAAGCATAAAAGAACAAAAACATAAATATCTATTACTAATATCTTCCAAATATGCAATGTAATAATTAGTACTGTCATCTAAAACAGGACTTAATGTTACTGCACTTTTCAGAATCATATGAAATTTGGAATTAGACTACAATGACTAGAGTCTATTTCTCAACAGAAATATTTACAGTTCAATTACATACTTGTATGTTGCACCAGGAAATATATATTCCGCAGACCACAGAATTTTTGAAAATCTATTCAGTATTATTTTCATCAAAAATAATTCTGCCACAATCAATATTTTAAAAATTACTTGTGGGACAGCAGAGTAAATTAGATACCACCCTTTTAGTTCTAAGTTCTAGAGTCAAATCCTGGCTGGATTTGTAAGTATGAAGCCTCCTTTATTGTTAGTTGCACTAAGATAAATGAGATTGAAGTAACCTCAACTCAAGCTTGCATTCACAGCAGAAAGCTATTAGTAAATTACCACTAGATAGATATTAATTTAGAAGCCCTAAATATAGCTATCCAGGAAATGTAAATGACACTCTTATCCAGCAAGAATTTCTTTTCTGAGGTTGGAATTCAATTGTGTTGTTAGGGCAAAATAGAGGAAGTCTCATTCTGCAACTGGCTTTGCTACATTTGACATGGTAATGTTTAACACAGGATGCCAAAAATTAAAGAGGTGATCTGGCTTCAGAACTGAGCTTAAGACATCATAATGAATGCTTCTCTTTTTTTTCAAGCACGATTAAGGTCCAGGCAAATAAAATGAAAAATTCCACTGGTCGGTAAAGCTACAAATCATCATGATTTTATAATGAGGAAATAACACAAGCACACATCAGTAGTCGACAACTTTACTGACCAGCAGAATTTGGCCTAAAGGGTTTGCCATTCAGAATGTCAATGCTACACAAATGATGAAAAAAATATATTTTCCTCTAGAGAAGCTGCATGCAGGGCAGGTCAACTTAGGTACCTTAAACTCAAGAGACAACTGAAACTTGCGCTGAATTTTCGAAAAAAACACTTAGTTCAAGAACTTTTTGAGTACTAAACACATTATCCACAAAACACAATTACTTTGTGTGTGGAGGCAAGAGCAAGAAGTGCAATATTTTTTTCAAATTTTAAATCACCCAAGTTCATGGGCTGATGAAAAGATGTGTATTTTTAAAACAAAAAGGAGTGTCCAATCATCACCCTGCTTGGATGCCAACATGACCCTTAGTAGGTGGAGCTGAATGAAGAAGGAAATGATGGTAACAAAACCCATCAATGTTTCTTTCAAATGATGCCAAGCAGAATGTGCACTCAAACTAGAATTTTGCTCAATCGATATTTGTGCCACCATACATCAGCAGCATTGTTCACACTTAACATTTGGGCTAGCAATAAATTATCCAAATTCGATGTGCCAATTGATTAACTCATGAGAAAGGCTTTCAAAACATTGAAACCACGGCAAAAAATCATTTTGAGCTCTGATGTTCCACATATATTACGCATAATTCTAGAACTCAACGAAGGGACCACTGATATGAGTTTTCTAGAATAATTTAAAGCCAAAGACTAGACCCAAGCATTATTTCCTACAGAATAATCTGAATATTTCAGATGAATTCCAGGTCCTCTTTTTTAAAAGATCTATAAGAAAGCCTTCATTTATCTAGATTAGGCATGTGGTATGCGCCTGAGGTTACCACCATTATCTTAGTGTACTAGAATTGGTTTGCCAACATTTTTGCAACACATTCATATTGGGAAAACTTTCTAGTACATCTTCATTAACCAAATACTTTATACACAAACATAATTCTAATTGTGGAACAAACTAGCCTTTTGTATTTTGATGCACATTATTAAAGTAAGGGAATCAATCCACCACGCATTTCAATACTAAATTTATGTGTGTTTACAAAACAGCTAATTTTAGCTCGAGCTATCAGATAAATTTCTAGATAAAATTAGGCACTGGTAGACAATCTGAAAGCTGCAGTGCCCCGCCATAACGTTAACCTGATGTACAATCTTCCTAACAATAGCAACCCATTTGTAGTGATTGTTAAAGATTTGTACATGGAATATAAGGCTAGTTAACATTGTTGTTATAGAATAATAGATAATTAGAAGTGCATTATACGGTTTTGTTGCCACAATTTCTGAATGTTTTTAAATCCAAGCAATTCATAAAGCCCTTTAATCAGTTACAATGCTATCATAAACATCATTCCGAATTTGTAATATGGATCGTTGGAACGTGCATTTAAACAGAACTAATATTCATTACGCATAAATAATTAACTTAAATAATAAAACCATAGGAGTACTTCAAACATTCACAAGTCATTCATTACAGATGGCTTTAACACCTGAAACTGACCATATGTGGACTTTTCAAAAACAAATGAAGATGAGGTGGATTTGTTTTAATGGCTACTTTCTGATAATTACCTTTGCCTGAGAAAAGACAGTGACTCATAGAGAATTAAGTCAATAAATTAGATATTGCAGATTAAAACTCCAGAGCACTTTTGGGTTACCATGTTACAAATAGTTAATTTTAAAAGTATCTACAGGAAAAGGGAAATGTCACTACAGCAACATCAGCGCTCTACATTTACGCTGGACAGTAATAGTGCTGTGTCCTTACATCACATCAAGTGAACCCTCTCTACTCCGCACAATATCATATGTGGTTCAGTGGAACAAGTATGCTTGCAGGAGTTGGAACTGTTAGTGGCAGGCACATGCTCAAGAACGGATGTATCTATGATCCAGACAATTTATAAGACAGACACCATTTTCACTGACAAATGATGTCAACTGGAAAGATTGTACTGTATTATTTACATGACATGGAATTTATGGCTGAGAGAATAATTTAATACAGCACTTGACTTGTTTTATCATAAAGCTGAATCCTGTAAACTATTAAAAAAACATTGTTTGTTCCAATTGTCTCCATATAACTGCCTACTGTAGCTCTGTTTGCTACAAATATAAAAGATGAATTATTATGTAATAGCTGAAAACTTTGTGCATATTGCAAAAAAGATAATATTTTAGCAGAAAGTGCAACATCAAACCTGAAATAAAGCAGAAAAAAGACCTTTAGGTATTTTTAACGGACATTTTTCATTAAATACAGTATCACTAGAAGATATTACTGTAGATCTTAGGCTTGGCATATTTCAATTAACGATATCCTCTAAAAATCTTATATTTACTATCCTTTCTCCCCCATGACTCAATGCAATGGTCTGTGCTAAATTAGGGGACTCAACCCAGGTGGCAATAAAGCCCGTTGAAGGGAAGTGAGCGGATAGAAAAAAAGTTAACTTTGCCATTTCAACCTGTCCACTCCCTCCACTCAGCAGGCTCCAGCCTGTTCCACATCTTCTGCCGGCCCGCCCCACCATCGGTGGGCGAGCTTTCAGCCTCTCTGCCCCGAACCTTTCGAACTCCATCCCACAGATCCTTCTCCTTGTTCCTGCCCTCCCTTGCCTCCTTCAAGTCACGTCTCAAGACCCTCATCTTTGACTGAGCCTTCGGTCTCCCTCCTACCCTAACCCTCCCTGCCATCCACCCCTCCTGATCCCAACCGCCTGCTTGGGTCCAAATCACTGACTGTCCAGCACCTTGAGACATCCTCCCGACGTGAAAGGCACTATACAAATGTAATTTGTTGTTGACTTGTCCCGGATCACTATCCAGCACTCTTCCTTGGTGGAAAGTGCAAACAAATTGAAATTTGTTGACAGGATCAGACTTAATTTTGGTGCCCATGATCGGCTAATTTTTACTGTCTAAGCTGAAATATGAAGAGTGGCCACTTTGATGAAGTACCTCAGGGTAGCCATGGAACTGCACTCAGGCATAAGCTAGCACTTTAGGGAGAGAAAGAGAAAAGAATATTTATTGAACCAAAAAAATGATAGCATACAGTAGATAGCAGCATCTGAAAGAGAGGAACAGATTAACGCTTTATCAGAACTAGTTGCGATTTTTTTGGTGAGACACCTACCTGACACATGCAGAAACCCATCATCATATGTAAGAATAACCAAATCAAATATTGAGAGTTCCACATATGTATAGTTTCCATTTGTTTGGTATGGAGTCCATACTCTTGTCCAGAGGTGGAGGATGGGGGGCGCGCACACTGTTTACCAATAGCATGGAGGGTTTAGGCACAGGTTGCCAACAAACCAAGGCTTGGGGACACCAGAGTCCACGTTGGGTCCTGCTGGAGTTTAAACAGCTAAAATCATGCAGCTTTCCATTGTGAAAACTAGCAAAAGGTTTTAAGGGGTATTGCGAAAGGGCATGGCACATGGCACTGTCAAGAAATAAACTGGTGGAACAGGCTTAGTGAGCTGAACGGCCTGTTCCTATTCTACGTTTCCTAAGCTTCCTGCTACTTGTCCTATTCACTAAGGCTTTGGCCTGAAGGGGTAGCTAGGATGGGAATATACAGCGATACAGCATGGAAGACACAATTAAATACAACCAGTCTGTGCCAGGGAATATATACTTTTCCATTTGTGTTACAAATTAGATCTAATTCACATTGATATCAGCAAAAATCCAAATGATATAATATAGATATTACATCTTAACAATTTTAAAAATACCATAAAAATATTGATTTTGGAACTGTTAGTTGATTATTGGAATGACTGCTGCTTAATTGCTGCAGATTATGGAACGAAGACCCAAGAATTAACTCAAGTGTAAGTAAACAAGGGCAGACTTGTCCATTACATAATAGCATTATATTCAAACAGATTCGCTGCTTAACTGAACATACGAAGCACTAGACAGAAAATACTAAACACTAAACTATCAACCCTTTCCAAACCCTGGTTTCTTTTCCCATCAATAACAATTTACCTTCACTCTTCAAGGCAAGACATCATTAGGGTACCATTATTGATTGTCAATTTCTTACTCACCCCATCAAGTTTCAATATACAAAATACTGTATTTTATAACTACGAGTAAGAATGATTCAAGTCAGTAATGTGACTTAATATAATCCAAAGTAGGGTTTCTATCTACATCCCCTATAGGTTTACATTTTCCCTTCATCATGTAATCAGATTGAATGACTTACCATTGCTGTTGCTGCCTGAGCTGCTACTGCAGCCTGGTTGGCCTGGTGTTGTGTCGCTTTTATTTTGGCCTGTAAATGTGCAGGAGGGTGAAAATATTTGCATTTCTCTCTTGAGCATCGACCTTTGATATAATCCATGCAGACTGTTACAGTATTGTCATTCGTATCCACCATTGCACTGTCCCCTGGGTGAGCAAAGCGGCAGTCAGTTTCACCCCGAGTGCAGTTCCCTCGTTGAAACTCTCTGCAAACCTGTCAAAAAAAGACTGCTGTTGTAGCTACTACTGAGGGCTTTTCAAAAGTACATGAATGCATCCATCTTAAACAAGGCAGCATTTTTAAAATAAAAACTTGACACTTATGTAGTGTTTCAATGTGCTAATAATAATGTGATTTTTATTATCAATGGTGATAATTATCACATCAAATTGGTTATGAAACGCTGCATAATTTACCCCACAGTTAATTAATAATAAAAATACTTAATTTATTAGTGGGGGTGAGGTTTGATCTAATTTTCTCTTCCTCCCCTGAAGATGTAGGTTTTGGCGGGAGTAGTTACACAGGTGGAACCAGCCGACCAATAACTATGCGTGAGTTTTGGCAGTATACGTCAGAAATCCACTTAACCACTAAAGGGGTCACAGTCAAGCCGAATCTTGTTCTTAAAATCCACCCACTTGTACTTTCCAGAAGGGTTACTGGTTAACAATCAGGAGACGTAACTCTGGCCGATTTGCCTAGAGCATTTAAGTTTATCATCAGTTTTGAATTGCTGTATTACCTAAGGTAAGATAAACAGCAACTGAAACTCAACCTTTTTCTGAATGGATAGTGCTATTAGGTCATTGGGTCATTAAAAGCCCAAACTATGACTGATTTAATTGGTATTTTTCAGTAGTGTATTTCAATAGTTGTCCTGCTTATAATCCACAGCACTTACAGTGTACAAGTAAAATTCAGAGAACCAGAATCAACACACTTACTATATGTTGGTTCATACAGTATTTTTTTTTACCTCTAATCGGTCTGTCCTGATGTGTTTCTGTGCATTTCCTGGACCTGTAACTGAAATGGGTGGACTTCCAGGGACGAGGAGAGGGCTAGTTGAGAGAATTTCAGTTGGAACTAAACCAACACCATGAGCCATCGGTGTCAAATAGGGAGCAAAGCTGAAAGCATGATGATTTGTTCCCATAGCAGGGTTCACAGGAAATGTGGGCTGTGGACAAACATACAAACATTTTAAAAGGGTTAAGTGTTATTCAGAAAATATACATTAATGTAAAGGCTTCCTTCTTATAAAACTATTAAAGAGAGAAGAATTTAATCAGAGTTTATTTTGAAAAAAAATAGTCAAAGCTACTCTGAAGCAAGAGCAGAATACAGATTTCCATTACATTCCAGATTATCACTGTTGGGAACCTATTTATAATATTAATTCTGCAGAGATCTGATGTGATTGGGATGTAAGTGGCCCGGCAGTCATAAAATGTTAAAGATGCTTATAATGAGACATCACAATAGTTAACTAGGTAGGTTTTTTAGCATTGTAAATTAACTGGAACTGATGGAAAAGTCCATCACCTATTTGATTCTCCTACTGGATATATCCACATTCAGTTGCTATATATACTAGAGCCAGTTATAAACGTTGTTGTGAAACCGTATACAAACACTAACAAATGCTGTGTAATTGAATCCATATTATAACTGGTGTATAAATTGTGGTAATGATGTAAAATTTGGCTATTTACATTTTTAACTCAGACAAATATATTTTGAACTCAACTTGTCTATGTTGATTAAAAGCTTCACTGGAACTTCATTTAGATAAGAATAATCCTTGCATTTGATATAGCACCTTATCACATTGTTGAAATGCCTCAAAGCGCTTCACAGAATATACTACAAAATGGATTGACTGTATACTTTGTGGGCGAAAGCAGTGTCCCACAAACAGTTGTGGATTACAAACAGATAGTTGGAGTACAATGGCAGCTCAGTATCTGGGTTATGTTAATAGGAATGTTAATGCAAATTTAAAAGTTTCTTCAAAACTAAATCCTTTTCAATTTATTTTCAGGAAAGGATATGGAAACAGAAGGAGGCAATTCAGGCAATTAAGCCTGCTTTGCAGATATTTAGGTTTGCAGTCATTTATTTACCCAGGCTTTTCTAGACATCCCTTCATGTCCTTACTTTCCAAGAACCTATCCCATTTTGAAAGTATTCCACCTCTTACACAGAAGATGTACTTCCATAATTTGCTATCTTGATTGCCACCTGGCATCATTCTATCTACTCCCTTAATTATTATTATTATTATTATTAATTACTATTAAATACTATTATTATTATATTATTATAATCTGCCCTATGTCTTTTTGCAATTTTTTTTCTCTCTCCTTCGCTATTCACTACAGCTCCTACCTTAGTTTTATTTACAAATGTGGATATATTAATTTCAATTCTCACATCTGGATTTTATATAGAGTGGAAAGCTGGAGCCTCAGTAAAATTCTTGGGAGACTCAACTTTTCACCATCTGCCAATCAGACAATGTCCCTTTATTCCAACTCTCTGTCTCCTAATCAATTTCCTGTCCATGACATTAAGTTCCAAAGCTGGTTCCTTATCAAATGATTTTTGAAAATCTATGCAGCTGACACCTATCACCTCCCTCTCAATACGCTGACATTAGAAATTAAGCACAGTGTGGAATAGCAAACCTGAGTCAGTCACAAGTTGGGTATTCTGATCCACTGAATATCCATATCCTGCCCTTTCAGAAGGATACATATTTTGTTGTACTTACAAGTTGCTGAAGTGGTGTGCCTGGCAGCATAAACTGCATCTGCTGTGCCAGCATAGCTGCAGTTGTTTTCTGTTGTATGAGATTGTTGCGTCCATTAATTTCTAGCTGTGTTTTTAAATGCATTGGAGGATGAAGATATTTGCAGTTTTCCCTTGTGCATCGGCCCTGAAAAATGCAAGACATTTTAAAGAAAGTTTTAAATATATATATATGTATATATTTAAAATTATAAAATAAATAATAGCCATAACAAATATTACACAATGTTTGTTTGGCTGCCGGCAGCCATTGCATAATTATCATTATGTTCACAAGAGCCCTAACAGTACACAGATGGAGGGTTAATGTTCCATATAAACTTATCTTGTATAACTGTTCTACAATGTACTTTCAGGAATCATTAACATACAATTTGTTGCAAAGAAGGTAACTATTACTGCACCCTTTCAATAAACTCGACCAAAGGGGTAAGAGCAGGGCAGTGGGACTAGTTGGATAGCTCTTTCAAAGAGTTGGCACAGGCACGATGGGTCAAATGGCCTCCTTCTATGCTGTAATAAGCTCTACAATTCAAAGCATTATCTTTGTGTTGCCTCCTTATCGTTGTCATGTACATGTGGACACTTATTGATCAATGATGAAAAATAAAACAAGTTCTATAAATGAAAAGGTAATGTAACCAATTTCAGCAACTTTCTTGAAGGAAAAACTTCACGTCTCCAATATTTAAAAACTAGACTGCTGGAAATTTTAATCACAATTGTTATAATGTAAATAAAAATCTCACAAATGCACATCATAATAACAATCTATTACAAATAATAATGTATTACAAACAATAATATTTTGTTGCTAATGCATATTTTTGTATCACAACATTTATAAAGGCTTTCAGCAATAAATGCAAACCATTAAAGCTCGGTGTACATTTTCTGCTCTCTAACTACACTTATTTTCTCATACAACTAATGTGTGCATCTAGCAACTCTGGTAATGCTGTAAATTACTCAGCATTTCACCTGAGACACACTAAGCTGGTCTCCTTCTTCCAGATATAATGCATTCTTTTTCATCTTAAAATATGAACAGATGAAAATTCAGTGAAATAAGATTCAGAGCAATGTCTAAACAAGTACATTTAGCTAACAATGCAACATATTTTACATGGTCTAATAACCTGTATTACAGTGCAGGCCTGTTAAAATGCACTTTGTTATAGCACTGGTTTGTTTTTCACTCGAATGGGGTGTTGATTACAAACACCACACATGCATACAACCTGCTTTCTGATATGGTGGCTTCACTGAAATTAATTGCCATGACCTCTACTGCAGACATATCATAGAATCATAGAATATTTCAGCAGAGAAGGAGGCCATTTGGCCCACCGTGCCTGCTCTGAGGAAAAGCTACCCAATCAGTCGCACTCCCCTGCTCTTTACCCATATCCTTGCAAGTTTTTTCCTCTTCAAGTAGCTATCCAATTTCCTTTTGAAAGTTGTTATTGAATCTGTTTCCACCACTCTTTCAGGCAGTGTATTCCAGACCATAACAACTCCCTGTGTAAAAAAATTCTCATCTCCCCTCTGGTTCTTTTGCCAATTATCTTGAATCTATGTCCCTGGTTACTGACCCATCTGCCAGTGGAAACAGTTTCTCTCCATCTACTCTATCAAAACCCCTCATAATTTTGAACATCTCTATTAAATCTCACCTTAACCTACTGTACTCTAAGGAGAACAATCACAGCTTCTCTAGTCTCTCCACATAGCTAAAGTCCCTCATCCCTGGTATCATTCTGATAAATTTCCTCTGCACCCTCTCCAAGGCGTTAATATCCTTCCTAAAGTGTGGTGCCCAGAATTGGACACAATACCCCAGCTGAGGCCTAACCAGTGACTTATAAAAGTTTAGCAAACCTTCCTTGCTTTTGTACTCTACTCCTCTACTTACAAAGCCAAGGATCCCACATGTTTTTTTAACTGCTCTAACAACCTGTCCTGCTACCTTCAAAGACATGTGTATGTGAACCCCCAGGTCTCCCTACTCCTGTAAGTGGTTCATGAATGGAAGAAATGCATCTAAAGCTACAATCTAGTTACATTTGTAGATCTTGCATCATAGTACAGCCACGAGGGACCTAAAGTGCAGAAATACATGAAAATATTCATTATACAATTTGTGGGTTGTGTGTGACCCAAGAGACCCTCAGATCCAGCGCCACATTTCTGTTATCTCCTTGACCCCACTCGATGTGCTTGTGCTTCTGCTGGACTACTGCGCTCATAATCTTAGATTGAAAATGACTAATTTATCATTGTTTTTTGTTTTTGGAGAGATTATTATTAGGCGTGTGGAGTAAGGAAACTTGCCCAAGGTTTCGCCCTGCCTGGAATTGAACTCAGGTCTCTCGCTTGCAAAGCGAGTGCTCTAACCACTGAGCTACAGGACTTGGCAACAAGGATGACCCAAATGCAATGTGACTTTATATCTATCTAACTGTGAAGTTGTGAGAGTAGCTCTCGAGTTAATATAACATTGCAATAGCAAATGGAATTCAAGGATTTCTTTGCAATAAAACACATTTTAATTGTGTATTTCAAAGCACAAGAAAACACTAAATAAATGATTTTGACCTTAGGACATATATTGATAAATTGCCTAATGAACAAGAAATTGGAGACATTGTCTGAAAATATGAGCTACAACACAGTAAGATTTTCCTTCAAGCAATTCTAAATAAATCCTCATGGTTACTGTATAGGTGCAAGATGAGTTGGTACTATGCAAAATGTTCACACTGGCATTGAAATAGTGCCGCAATTGTTACAATTGTAATTCTCTAATTTTTATGGAGAAAATCAAAGTGAAATGAATTATGTTGAATAAAGCCTCACACAAACTAGATACAGATTTTTACAGCGATGTGCATTATCAATAATGCCAGTTGGCTCAAAGGCTTACAAAAGTCTTAAAATTAATTAACGAGTTCTGAACATGTTTCAATATCAATCAGAAAGGTGAATAGGTATGGGAAAAGAGAATGCAACTGCAAATTTTTGCAAGTCTGCACAATGTCTGTTCTGGGAACTGTGTGGAAATTGAAATCAGTTAAAAGGAGTATGGACAACAATCATGGGAATCTTTGTCCTGGTTAAATGCTCTGAACCCAAGATGCTTGTTCTGGCATGAAAGCAGCTAAATGCTTTAGTACTACACAAGCTGTAATTTAATTTCATTAAAGAGTTCAAGAGAAAAACTCAACAACAAACCACACCAATGCCTCTAAACAATCTAAAACGTGGGTTAGATTTTTTTTAAAATTACTAATGGCAATTAAAATTGTGTGCCAGATTGCACAGATTGAAGACAAAATTATTACTGAGAATAAATAATAAGGTCACATGGTTCATATGGTGATGCAATATGGAGAATAGATATCTAGAAGATTAATTTTCATTTTTACCTGCATTTCACATCTAACAATCACATGTGTTTCAGATGTAATTATTGTTAAATATTAAAATTTTTGTTATGGGATCTTTAAAGACCACCTGAAGAAGAGGCAAACAAATCTTAATTTCTCATCCAAAAGAGCACACCGCCAACAATGCCATTTTCCCAGAACTGCAGTGAACTGTTAACTTTAACTAAAAGGGGGCTTGAACTCACAACCTTCAGACCCAGAGGCAAAAGTGCTACCAACTGAACCAAATAATGATTACTGTAGTTCTAAATTAAGGTATTTTCATAATATATTTTATGAGATTATATGAGATTCATAGTTAGCTTGAAGAACAATTTGTTTCCCTTTTGCCGCATTGGATGTCATACAAAGTTGGCAAGCGATGTGCTACGTGTTAGTAATACTTGATGAACTCATTGCAGATTAAAGTGCAAGTTTAATCAAATGATCATGAACAGTTGATTACTGGGAAATAGTATCGGCAATGTATATTTCAGGGTATAATTTCTAATTAACTTTGTTTAAATGTAAATGAAACAGATTGACTTCAATCTGTTATAAAATAATTCAATTTCTATCAATAGGAGAAAGATTTGACTTTAAACCATGAAATGTAATTTTAACCCCACTCTTAAGTCCAAGTCTAGATCTTACATTTTCTCCACCAAAATGATCTAGAATTCATGAGAAGTTCAAAGTTACTGTTCCAATTTGCAAGACCTGATTAAAGCCTCTTCAAGTTTGGCACTTGTGAGCTGGAGTTTTGGCAACTACATTGATCTAAAAGAGGAGTGGCACTCTTGTTTTGCAAGGTATCAGCCCATATTTGCACGCATACTGAGTGAAGCACAATGACCCAATAAATCAAGCAGTCTGCTAAGTTACTGATCAGTTTGGTGATAAAAATAAAAGCTTGCTTTTATAGTACAGTAAACCTCGCAGAAGTCGTACAAGTTGGGACCATACATGTAATGACATGCAAAATTTAGGTAATGTCAAAATTGTATAAGTCACATCATATACAATTTTTGTAAAGTTACATATAAGTTGGATTTTATATGACTAACACACAACATTTACAATACACAAGTACTGTACTGGCAAGTGACATGCTGGCAAGGCTTCTGTACCATGTTTAACTCATGAATTTTAAAGCTCTGGTAATCTATTCGTTCCATATACAGTATTGTGCAGAAAACATGTAATGGCACACTGGCAATAAATGGCAAAGCGAACAAATTTCAAAACACAACTGTTTTGTTAGAATATAAACTCTAGCAAAGATTGTTTCACATGAGCAGGGTGGTCCAACCTTTTGGCTGTTGAGGGCCAGATGCCCACTTTGAATGCCACGAACGCTGCCTTCACTCTCTGCCTTGAGGACAGTTTGCCAGACAGAGAGGGCATGGGCTGCCTGAAATTTTTTATTTCCTCTCTCATCACCTCCCCCGCTGCCGTGCGCAATGACGTTGATGTTAAGGCCCCAGGGGGGAAAGTGAGGGAGTGTTAGGGTACCCATTGCTGTGTTCTGCTGGAGGTAGGCGCGAGAGACAAAATGTTGACAGGGCAGCCGGTAAAGTTCAGTAGTGGCAAGTGCAGTAGTGGTGTTACGAGTTACACAGTTGTTAATACAACTAGTGCATTTAAATTTAAGTGGATTTAATAGGAAATTGAACGCAACTTTGGCAGATGTGTGACT